ATTCTTAAGATAGAAAGATACTTCATTGAAAAATGATAAAATAGGAACCCTTTAAGAAAACAGCGAAAGGTTATATAAAAGCTTTGCTATGGGAGGAAATGTTTATAAATGAGTCTGTCCATCAGTTTCTGTTTCTTACTGTAAGATAGAGGAGGGTAGTCACTAGTTAGATTACTCAAATACATGTACGTAAGTAAAATATTGATGGTTTGTACAGTTCTGAGTATTTTTAAATCATAATTCATTGATTTTACGTAAGTATGTAATTGACTAAAGTCATCTACTTTTTTAATGTTACATTTTAGCCATTCATTTTTTAATTTTTGTTTTGTTGGTGACGTCTGTACTGCTTTGTGATTGGTGAGATCTCTGCCGTGTTATTTTAGACCAAAGGGATCCAAAAAACAGAAGAATAGAGCTTAACAGGCTTCAGTTCCTTTACTGGTGGAAGCTGGATTTATGAAGAATTCTACCACAATTCTTTAGGATTCTCAGTACTTGAGCAGTTTACTACTTTATACTTTTGTATTTCTACTAAAGTTGTTTTTTGGGTACTTTTACTTTTATTTGAGGAAATATTTTAATCAAACATCGTTACTTCGACTTGAATATAGGTTTAGGCTACTCTATCCACCTCTGATTAAACATGCATTATCATCAAGCAGACTGCCAGCTTATCATTAAATGTCTGAAAGAGCCAAGAGATTGTCGAGTTAGTGCTGTGCAGTGTATCGTCTGTATCAGTAGTGATATTGGTGTCACACAACAATATTCATTTTTTGATGTTTCATTAATTTATTCATTCATTTATTCATGTTTTAATAACACTAAACAAATAACAAACAAGATGACAAAAACTGAAAGGGAAATTCCACCAGTTTAATGTGAAATTCTCTGTTCTAGAGGCACTTATTGAGTCAGAAGTGTTTATAGTAGTAGTGATAGGAACCAGACATCTGTATTCAGCTAAAAGCTACATCACAAGATGTTATTACACCATAATGTCTGATGCCTGAGACATTGTTTTTCAGAAGTTTTGAGAGAAGCTTTTGGGGTGAAATGTGTTTTTAAATACATTCTTGGCAGACAGGTACATGCAGAGTGTGGTAAAATGAAATAGGACCCGAACAACCACCCCACCCCCCCAGTTTACCACTATTTTAACCCCTTCAACATCACATGTAAAAACCCAGGGGACATGTGTAGGTTCGCTAGTCATATTAGAAAGTAAATAAAATAAAATGACTGTATTTACATTGTGGACATTGCAACCATCACATCCACCACTGTACAGAAATCTGAATCTGTAAATTTCTCTGCAGTTTCACATCAAACCACATGTTGCCAGCATCTCCACAATTGTATTAAGCAACCCTTTTGAACAGTCTGTGGAATTCCCCTTTTACTGCAATGTGTGTTGTTTGATGGTTGCTTCAGATAGTTTTGAAAGGACAGTTTAAAATACATAAACACTGCATAGTAGGAGTGCGATTTGTGTCTGGTTAACATTTACAGCACTGTATACTTTTCCCTATGGTGTCGTTTTAAGAGAAAAGAGAACAGAACTGTCCAAAAGTCAGGATTGTAGTAGCTCTCAGGAAGCATGAGTTCATTAACTTTGTCAATGCAAACTTAAATATCATCAAAAAGTGTTAAATATAGGGAAAGTATTGCATTGTTGCACTAGCTGTGGTGTTGCACAGGTAAACAGAAGTACCCACAAACACACTAAAACCAACATATGTGCGCCGGCTTTATGGAGTGTCAGTTAAAACGTCTCACGCTGATTTGTAGAGTAGGAAAGAGCGGTTTGGAAGCTTGTTTTTTGCCTGCCAGAATCCCCGCTGCCATCTCTCCAGGGTTCATGTTATTAGTGCGGCAGTTCATGGCGTGATTAACACGGACGGTGGCCTGGCAGGAACACAATAGTGGAACCTTTTTTTTGGGATTGATTCCGTGCAGAACACCACTCCGCCGCCTTTGAAATGACTCCAGACTCCGTTGCCCCCCTCAACCACCACCCCCCCGCAAAAAAAGATGCTTAATAAGATTTTGTGTTTTTTTTTTTTCTTTCTTTTCTTTCTCTCTCTACGTTTGAATGTGGAGGATATGAGATGGGAGAGGTAAAGCCTATAGAAATGAGGAGCAGCAGCTGCTCTGGGCCTCCGGAGGGAGTTAATGTAGTTTGGGGGACACATCTGACTGCAGCGGCAGGCGGATTTTTACAGGCCTCGGGATTAGAACAGCTACAGAGTCTCTTTTATGGCAGGGAACCCTGAGTTTTAAAGGACCATACTGTGACCGATATTTAGACCTAAGCCCCTGAAGCTGATAACGGTCATGAAAGGGCAGTGTTTAGCCTCAGAAGAAAGGAAAGGAAAGGGTTTTTTTTCTTTTTTTTTGGCAGACAGACACCTTGGATAAACTGCTTGCATCCAGGTCTGCAATATGTAAACACGATTTAACCGTGTAAAAAATGTGTATACAGTTCTCATATTGCATACTAAGAATATTGCATTTATGTATTATTTACGTATACATATATGTATGCATTTATATTAATATTAGCACAAGTGTTTATGTGTAAATTAATGCATTTATATAATAAAATGTTCTGGAGATCAGTGCTGGAAATTGGAATATAATTCCATTTTATGTATATTGTGCATAACAACACCCAAATCAAATCACGTTTATTGTCAAATCATGTATATACATACATACATATATATATATATATATATATATACACACACACATATACACAATATACACTAGTATTGCACTGTTTCCAATGCACAGTTGTACAGTAAAAATGTTATGAAATAAAACTACGATATGTACAGTTGTACATATTTCCATATGTGCAGTTATTGAGTCTAAGGTACATAAATAAATGAGATGCAGGTACACAGGGGGTAGAATATTGATATTGAAATCTTCCAGATTATACAAGATATGGATAGAAGATGTACAAGATGTCAATCTATATGTGTAAGTATAGATTTGGTAGACTGAAGGTGCAGTAAGATCAGAGTAAGTCTCTTGAGATGTGGATGAGGTGTAGATTGTCCATGGACATTCATGATAGAGTGAAAAGGAAATTTTGTTTCATGAAATGTAAAAGTGTTTGGGGAATTTGTTGCAGTCCTTCTGTTCCACAAACATGAATGAAAATTAATTTGGTTGTGTGAAAGTCTGAGAATGCATCCTTTTTGCATTTGGTGATCAAAGACACTCCTGGCCAGAAACGTTGGACAATAGAGTGAGTGAGGCTCAAGAAATAAAACAAAATGAAACAGAAGTGGTCCAAATAAATATGTAGATTTAGTCCTAAAAATTAAACAAAAACATGACAAAATGAAGCTTATCTCGTTAAACCAAAATGTTGCCTAGCAACTGCTTTTTGCACTCGGAGGCTGATTGTAGCACCTGGAAGGGTCGAGCCGAGAGTGACACTGATCCTACCTGCTGCATCCTCGCTGTGAACTCGGCAGGTTCTTTTCTTACACTGCTTCAGAGTTGTTAAGTGGAGCTGGTAAAGCACCGTCATAATCAGTTGTCGGCCCAAGTTTAAACCAGGCTTAAACCAGAAATGAGTGTGAGGTGCTGGAGGTGGGTGTATTTACTGTCTGCAGTGGACGCAAACTAATAAAGAAGCGCTAATGCTAATAGCATGCATACAGGATGTAGTTTAAACAGTGAGCTGTCTAGATTTTGGAGCATGCATGCCTGTTGGCTCATGGATGCTAAGACCACCAACTTGGGTACTGAAATTCGGTTTTAAATGAGATTTTTCGATTCTTGTTAGTATTAAGGTTACACGGTTGGTACCATAAAGGTGTTGAATTTCAATATGTAGCGTGTTTGTAACATATTCTGATTGTTATCAAACTTTGTGGTGAATCAGTTTATTATTAAAGGAGAATTGTTCAATATTTCTGTATAATTCAATATTTAATATGTGAACAAGGTCTTTCAAAGTAGTTTACTGTGAAATGGTTCATTGTAGATGAACTTACTGATTTCTTTACAGTGTCAGTGATGGGAACCAGTAGTCTCGATGTCTGCAACACAAATATTGGCATTTTATTCATTATCCAAAATATGTGTATATTATATGGGTAATATGATACATTACCCTTATATTACCCATTATTTTATATGGGTTATATGTTATGTTGGTGTTAACAAAGCAGTTCCTTCTTAGCTTTTTAGCTTTTTAATGTACCACTTTGTTTGTGTTATCCAGGACCTGACAATTACCTGCAATATATGTTATTCCTTTCCATTTGGGTCTTTCCAAGTTCCATTTAGTGTAATTTTAAGAGAAGAAATCCGAACAAACTGTCCAAAACAAGCCACATCAGCTTTGTGCAACGTTGTATAAAATACAGTAGAAGCACTCAGGAAACATGGGTTCATAAACACTTAATTCATACTTAAATACCATCTGATTCCATGATATATTTGATATATTTGATTTTGAGTTTTATTAGTATCACCTGGCCTTAGGTTTAGGTTGAGGTTAAGGTTTGACTGAGTGTTTTAGGCTTAGAGAAAAGTTGAATTTAATAGATATTTAGCTGAATGTTCACCAAAGACAGTGAGCGTCTATAAAGCATCTACAGTTGGCCATCAAAACAATGTTACTAAAAATCAAAATATATGATTGTAATATGATATATTTTGCAATAGCCCCCCAAAATCCTGATATCTTAGTTCATGCTCTATTACCTTTGTAGTTTAATGACCTCACAACCACGTGGTAAAACACTGCCTTTCCTCCAGGGCACTGTTTGCTCCCTTTTATGCATCAGAGATTTAAAAAAAAAAAGTGTTTCTTAACAACAGGAGTTGAGAAAAAAAATCGATCGTTTGAGGGGACAGTTGACCAATTGTGCTCCCCGTTGCTGCTTCAGTAATTAGAGGAGTGTCATAGCACTCAATTAGCAGAGCTGGCTAATAATGTGCTTAATGCTGTGATCTCTTTCCCCCAGGGTTTCGCAGACAGCCCTCATTATGGTGATCACTTGAGTGACAGTCGATTAGTGTCCCATGAAGGATTGTCCCCGACACCTTTCATGAGCTCCAGCATAATGGGTGAGTAGCCAAGGTGATTCTCACTCTTTACGTCCTGAGAGAAAAAGAGAGAGAGATTTAATTTATCTATGCTTAAGATGTTTGTGGCCAAGGCTTCTCACAGTCTGGTCCCTTTTTTGTAGTCAGAAATTGTAGTGCTGGATGATTATATTGTCTATACAGATAGGCTGACATTGTTCTCACACAGCAATTGATCTGTTTTTCGTTTTTGTGGTATTGAGGAAGTTTAACTGATTGCTAGGGATGCACAGTGAATCGCATTGATATCGTCAGACAATTGCAAAAAAAAAAGTATCAGCTCAGACTGATGATCCAAACTGATATTTTGACCAATTTAAAACCACCATTAGGTTTGCAAGTATCAGCATCGGCATTGATTAATATCTACATAGACAATATATTTTTTTGTTTGTAGAATAAAAAAATAACAGTATAAGCCCCCCCCAAAAAAAGCCTCATTACAAAAAAAAAAAGAAATGAAAAAGTCAGTCAAAGTCCAGAAACTGTACATATACAGCAACGCATGCCAAAACAACTAAACAGACATAAACAATAAATAAAAAAATGTAAAACATGATAGCAGATGTTATAATCTTGGCAGTTTGGAGGAGGAAAAATGTAAGTGAAATTACTGAGGGGGCTGTCACAGTTTATCATCACAGTCTCACAGTCACAGCGTTGAAGGTATCCAGTGAAAGGGTCCCAGTACTTTTTATACCTCTTGATTAAACCTGTATCTATGTATCTATGTATATATGATACATCGTAATTTCTGACGATTGATATTGAGACAGAATTCCTATATTGGCGCATGCCTAGTATCTGCAATGCATACATCAAAAGATCAATAGAAAAATAAATGAAAAAATAATGTACACAGTGAATTTCCTTTCTGAAAATGTGGTTTCTGCCTTATGTAGCGCTGTATTAAATTCCCTGGAGTGTCTTTTTAAAACAGAACAGTTTGGTCAAAACAAGCTGGTTTATTAGACATTCTCTCTGCATAGAGCTGCAGTGCTTTGGAAGCGTCGACTTTATTACTGCAATCTTAAAGGCCATATGATGGAAACAAATTCTTTACTCTTTTCTTAAATAAAGAGTTTGATGTTTTTCTCTTGCAGAGGCTTAATAAGTTCAAACTTAAATATCATCAGAAACAGTGATACCGTGAGATATTTGGCAAATATCACAATATTGAATTTTATCAGTATCACCCAGCACAAGTATAGACTGTCCCCCCCCCCTCGCTCTCTCTCTCTCTCGCTCGCGCGCTCGCTCTCTCTTTCTATTTCCCTCCAACCCCCCTTCCCCCTTTCCTGTGGTGACTGTTCTCAGAAGTTGACCCCCTCCCCCCTTCAGGGTGGAAGTCACGCCATCAGTACAGTTTTCCATCACAAAAGACTGTCTTCTAGCTATCATCAGAAAAGCCAGCGGCTGCTTCCACTAGCGGAGGGGAGAGGTGTGGGGGAGTGTGTTTTTGGTGGGGGGGGGGCATGTAGAGGCGAAACAAGCAGATGTGCCAGAGATCATTTCTCACACAAACCAAGTCAGGTCATAAGATTTCTCTCCATGTTCGCGCCGCAGAGGTGTGTGTGAAAGCGAGATGAACTCGGCCGAGTTCCTCTTTTTGCTCCAAATATATTTCAGGTCTTTTTTCCATCTGAATCAATACGGGAGGTTGGCCTGCTGTCTTAGCTTCGCCTGTGACGGCCTGTTGACTCGCTGGACCAAGCTGTAAATGTTGCACTTGCTCAGTAGAGTGAAAATCCAGTTTGTGAAAAAAATTTTGACATGTATTTATGTCTACATCTTATTTTCTTATTTTAACCCATTCATGTCTAACAGCTGCGTTTAGTAGGACGAGGAAAAATGCTAGAGGAGTCGTTCTGATTGGTGATTTTATAATTTTGTGTAGTTATATCGTACATTAACAACTAACAGCACTTATTAGCCATATAGTTTCGGTTTAATTAAAGCTTCAGATTTATGCTCAATGGGCGTTTCTAATTCTTGATATGGACATTAATATAGGGGTAGGTGATACGGCAGAAATACAGTATCACGATACATCTAAACATTTACATGATACAGAATGTTCAGAAGTGCAGTTTGGTCTGATGGGGGGTAACGTCAGCTGGCTAAAGCTCACTTACTGCAAATCAAATGTAAAACTGTGTAAACAGAGAACACATTCAGTTACACTCACTATATTCATATCTCTGGCTTTATATATCAATATTAAAATACAGAAATCAATATTATTAACAGGAATAATATATTCATAACCTACATATAGAGTATAGAGGTTCAGTTTTGCCGCCTACTCCAGTGGCATCTGCTTACTGCTATAAATATTTTAGCAATAATTAAAAATATTATGCTAGTTATGACCATAATACAGTAAAGAAGTGTTAAAAACAGTTCCAGGACAAGTTTGTGCTTCTTTCTTTTTGTCATAACTAAATGAAAAAAAAAATTGTGAGTTTAATGTGTTTAAAACTGTATTTGTCAGCTATATAATAATTAATATCCGACAGCCTTTTGCAACTCGGCTGTGTGTGTTTTTTTTTTAACAATTATCCCAAACCCACAAAAATTTGCTTGCATAATTTCTAAAAATGGAGGGGGACATGCCCCACCACTCCCTGTCCCTGCCTGAGTTTGCACCAGTAACAGTATTTATCACAATATTTCTTTTTCCGTGTTTTTATTTCAAGTACAGAGTAGGACAGAGACAGATTAGGAGCGCCATATTTTATCACATTGCATTTTATTTAACATTTTACATACTGCACAACACTAAATCCCATTAAACAGGACAAATTGTGCTCTCTTAATGAACCGTGCAGTTCAGTGTTCAGTGGCCTTTATAACTTACTTATCGCTGTTGTCGGAAGAAAACCTCATATCTCACTGTCTCTTATGTTTTTCAGTTTTTGACATTGTTTGAAAATGCCTGTTGCCCTTTACGTTGTGTGTAAATTTCATGATGAATGGACCAAAGGAAACGACCCAAAATTACTTGGAAAAACGTCTGGTTCCATTGACTTACATTGAAAATACAGTATGTTTTTTCTATCTCCTGTAAAGTTACCATTTTGGAGATACGAGGTTTTCTCCCGACAGCAGAGTTATGCTGTTTCCTTGTGTCCCTTTTTTTCTCGTCCCCTCCTTTTTTAAAGCTTTCAGCTGTATAAGTATGGGTTTTGATGTTAATGCTGTATGCACATGCTTTGATTTGATGTTTTCCAGCCTTATCCTTTTATTATTGAGTTGAAAATGTGGTAAAGACGCTGCTATGCTGAAGAGATACTAATTAGATGCTGCTGTTTCAGATATTTTTGCCGGAATTGATTGATTGGTTTATACGAACCGTAGGGCATTTATCTCGAGCGCGAGTGACGGATGATGGCGGCCGAGAGTCCGACGTTGGCGCTCTCTCTGTCCTACTCAGTTGTGATGTGTTAGCACATGACAGCTTTATGGGCTGCTGAACGCCAGTGCTTTGTAGCTTCGCCCTGGAGACCGGTTGCCATGCAAGGTGGCAAGTTTACGGATGAGGAGACCACCGAAACAAAATGTTATCTTTCTGCCAATTGATCCCTGGGTGTGCGATGTGTGTGTGTTTTTGGGGGAGGGGGATGTTTGCTTCCTCAGTCTCGCGGATGTAATGCTAATTACGCCTGTAAGTAGCAAAATATGGAAATGTTCAGGAACAATGATGTGTCGGGGAATTAGACGATCTGATAGCGGAGCTGAATTGCTTGCGCTTATCTGGCCGGGATTGGACGATGAGCCGGAGTCTTATCAAATTGAATTTCAGCAACAGTATCTGGGATTTACATGGAATTATGCGTTTTTGGAGCAACCTCATTAAAACAACTCTCAGACCTTATAACTCAGTAATGAAAGAACCCAGCCCAGACTGGCAGAGGCGTAGTACAGTTTAAAATCACCAGCATTTCCAAGGCCGTTCTTCTGTTTTTGGCTGATTTTCATAATGTATTTATTTATTTGCTTGTTTGTTTATTGCTCGCAAGTGTTTAAAGACAATGTGATCTAAGTGGATTATCTACAGACAAATCCCAGTAGTTTCTTCAGGAAAATACAAATCTGGCTTTGTGTGTTGTGGACTGCAGCATCTGAAATTACATTGTCGCAGTATTACAGAGGAAATAAAGTGTTTCAGTGCCTTAGAGACATCAGAGCATTTTAAGTTCTAGCCAGGTGCTTGTGTTTCTTAATGTTTGTGTCTGCCTCATGCATTTTGTTAAGATGCAAGAAGGGGAAATGTTGCCCTTGCGAAAGTCCTTGTTTGATTTGCTTTGATATTTCAACTCTCAGGCCTACATTAGTGGAGTTTGCACTTTATGCGCTTTTTGCTTTTGTTGAACACAGTATAAATTGAAGAAATACAGTACTGTGCAAAAGCCTTCTGAGAAAGTGATATGTAAAGCCCTTTATCTGAGAAGTAGGCATTTATTGTGTTAAAAAAAATACAGTAAATGCAAATAAACAACATATTGACTCAGTAAGGTCAGTAGTTACTCCACCATCCAGTACCTGGTTTATCTTATTAGGCAAGATCAGCGAAAATGTGGAACAAAGGGCGTTTCAAATTCCTGATATGGACGTTAATATAGGCATCACGATACATCTAAACATTTACATAATACAGATTGTTCAGAGGTGCAGTTTGGTCTGATGGGGGCTAACGTCAGCTGGCTAAAGCTCACTTACTGCAAATCAGATGTAAAACTGTGTAAACATTCAATTACACTCATCGTATTTATATCTTTTGCTTTATATATCAGTATTAAAATACCAAAATAAATATTATCAACAGGGGTAATGTATTCATAACCTACATATCCAGTACAGAGGTTCAGTTTTGTTGCCTAATCTGCCTATTGCTATAAATATTTTAGCAATAATGATGAATGTGATGATAATTAAGTAGAAAAAGAAATGACTTTTAATAACTGTTATGGCATAACTCA